TTTCCATAGGTAATTCCAGCTCCAGAGGATCTAATGTCCTTTTCTCAGCTCTCTGTAACATGGTACACAGACATACATGCAGGCAAAATATGTAGACACATGAAATAAATCTAAAAAAGATGGTGTACATCTTTAAACTCAGCACTTAGGAGGCAGAGGCAGTCTTTGAGTTCAAGGCCAGGCTGGTCTACAGAGTAAGTTAAAGGATAATCCAGTCTTAAAAAACCAAAAATCAACAAACAGACAAACAAAACAACAGTTTTAAGGGCTGGAGAGATGGCTCAGTAGCTAAGAGCACTTGTTCTTGCAAAGGGCCGCAGTTCATTTCCCAGCACCCACATAACTAACAACTCTAGTCCAGATGATACCCTTTTCTGAATGATGAGGCACCAGGCATGCATATGGTACACATACATATATGTAGCCAAAACATTTATATATGTAAAATAAAATAAATCTAAAGGAAATTTAAAAAAAGAAAAAAGAAAAATGTTAATATGCTGGGTATGGTAACACATGCCTTTAATGTACTGGTGAGGTAGAGGCAGGTAGATCAATGTTAATCTGAAGGCAGCCTAAGTCTACATAGTCTACTGGACTAACCAGTGCTATGTAATGAGATCCCTGTCCCAGGAAGGAGGGTGAGTTGGTTTTAAATTAGTTGAGGTGACACTTACTTATATATAGTTCTAACCTCAATACTTCTGAGACTGGGGCAGGAGGATCAACACATGTTCAAGGCTAGCCTAAATTAAACAGAGAAACTTTTTCCAAAATAACAAAACTGACAAACTTCTAATGGATAATCTAAGGATGGACAGACAGACAAATAAGCCAATAATAACATTAGCAATAACTATTGCCAGGTGTGCACATATACACTACAGGTGTAATGGTGCTTAGATTCCCTCCCACACATGCACTACCGGTATAATCCAAGCACCTAAGAGGCTGAAGCAGGAAGGTCGTGAGCTTGATGCCAACATAGATTATACTGAAATCTTCTTTCCAATTTAAAAAAGAAAAAAGGGACAGAGAGAGGCTGAATAGATGGCTCTACAATTAAGTAAACATCCTGCTTTCCCAAAGGACCTGAGTCAGTTAAGCTCAGAAACTCCATAATTGTACCTCCAAGGAAGGTAAAGGCCTGGCCTTTGAAAACACACTCTCACAGCACTCACTCACATACACATATAGAAAGAAAAATAAGATACCATTAAGACAAAAAGTTATACCAGAAACAATTTTATTCCCTGCTTATTAATACTCCCTATTCCTATGTGAATAATGATTACATGATTTTATTACAATAAACTTTGAATAATGATCAACTAAAACTATACTGATGTGGGAGAGGCCAGAAGTCTAGTATGAAAGTACTGTGGTATGGTGATGGTCCTCTGGTTGGTCATCCACAGTGGAATGCATAATACATACAGGTATGTATAAGAGACAGAGACAGAACTGTCGTGGGGAGGGGGCGGGAGGTGTTGAAGACCAGCCTAGGAAACAGGAATAAGTCTCCAAATCAAACCAAAGAGAGGGAGGGCAAGGGGTGAGCAACACTGGCCATATGATGGCTCCTACCTGTAACCCAGGGACCCAGGGAGCTGGAATGGCATAAAAAGTTTTACATGGGAAACTTAGTCCCAGCCTCAAAACAAAGGTCCCAGCTCTTTCTGAGGACCAGGGTTCAACTCCCAGTATCCTCAAGGTAGCTCACAACCATCTATAACTACAGTTCCAAAGGATCCAATGCCCTCTTCTAACCTCCACAGGCACCAGTTGAGCACATAATGCACATACATTCATTTAGGAAAAATACTCATACACATAAATAAGTCTAAAAACAAAAACAATAAAAAGGACCCATGGATGTAACTCAGTAGTTGTTCACTGTCTACCACACCGAGGCCCTGAGTTCACTCCCCAATACTACATAAAAGCAGGAAGAGAGCAAGCAAGCAAGCCCACCTAACCAATAGAAACATTACATGAAAGCAGCTGCTCTAAAATGTCTCTTAATCATGCTGCTATAACACTAAACCAAACTTCAAAGAAAAAGAAATAAACCAATAAATGCCAAAGAACAGACTATTGAAAATGCTTTGGGGAACAAAAATGGAGGAAGAAATGGAAAAAACTGACAGTGTTATAAGTGCTGTTGAACTATTTAAATCACAAACAGGCACAACTTCAACAAAAATTAAATTTACAAAATACATGTGCTAGAAGTGTGGTAGTGTATGCCTGTAATCCCAGCATTTTTGAGGTAGAGGCAGACCATCCTTAACTATACACTAAGTTTGAGGCCAGGCTAGGATATATGAGACCCAGTCTCAAAAATAACAAAACAAGACAAACAAACAAACAAAGGCCAAACCTATCCAGGCATGGTGATACACACCTTTAGTCCCAACATTTGGGAGGCAAAGACAGCCATGAGTTTGAGGCCAACCTGTTTTCTGTTTTACAGAGTGAGTTCCAGGTCAACCAAAGCTACACAGAGAAACCCTGGGGAGGGTGGAATGGTGCTATTAATTCTAGTACTAAGAAGGCAGAGACAGGTAGGTATCTCTGTGGGCTTACGTCCATCCTGATTTATACGGGAAGCTCCTGGCTAGTCAGGGCTACACAATAAGATTCCCTGTCTTTTAAAAAAAAATAAAATAAAAAAAGGAGGTGGAAGGGGATGGACTGGGGGGCAGAAGAGAGGGTGCAGAGTCAGGCAATAGGGAGGAAGACTGTTGCAAAGGAGACATGTGCTGTCAGATAGAGAAAACAGTTAACTCCTTTCCTCAAGGTTTCCCAGAGCACATACAAGAAAGCTGGAAAGAGAACACTATGATATGTTCAATTAATTCCTGGCTCCTTTATTAAAGGATCAATCTGATGCCACTGCACAAAGCTCCCTGCCTGGTATAAATCTTCTAAATGCATCCTACTCTCTGTCTCCTCTTATGGACCCCGATAGAGCACAGTACAGTTTCAAAGTGTCAGTATTCCCAAAAGGAACTGCTCAAGCACCCAGAAGAATGTGACATCACAGAAGCTAGAGACCTTCCAGATACTTGCCTCAGCAAGGCCATTCTAAACCATAGCTCAGAAGTTAGAGAAACTAGAACTGGGCAAAAAAGGTTAGCTAGCCATAGCTGTAAATCAGTTAGTACACAATACACTCAGTACATACAAATTACCAATTACTGAATCTCATATTGTCTTTTTTTTTTTCTTTTTTGCAATGTTAGTAACCAAACTCCGGGCCTCATACATGCTAGGCTTACTATAACCTTAGCCTCTAACTTTTTCTACTGACTAAAGATTCTTGCTGGGAGTCTACCAAAATTTAAAGCCATAAAGGCTTAGAAACTGACAGTAAGGGCCCTGAGCTGTCAGCAAGAACATTAACTAGGCTGTTTCTTCCCTTCTGTTTCTGCACAGGAGCAGAGCTACCAAAGAAATCTAGGATGGTTAAGCATAAGTGCAGAAATGTGTAGGTCAAAATAAGTGTCCACAAACTAAGCCAAAACAAAATAATACCTAGCACAAACCAGCCCTCTTCCTTTTTTCCCCTTCCTCTTCTTTTTTCTTTCTTTCTTTTTTTTTCTTAAAAAAAAAAAAAGATAGGACCTCAAAGTACATTAGCTGCATGGGAAAAACTGAGGACATAACAGTCCCTAGGTATAGCTGAGGAGTTCTATTGTAACTATGAGGGAGAGAAGAGCCAGGGGTATCTGGAAGAGCTCAGAAGGAACATGGCCAATAGACTAAACTGGGCCATGTGGGAGAGGGGAAGGAGAGAGCCAGAAGCCAAGAGGCCAGGAGAATGGGAACCAAGAGGCAAAGGAGTCAAAGGGCTGGTAGTCAAAATGGCTGAGATTATGTAGAAATCAGAGAAGCCAGAAGAAGGGAAACTCAGTCTGTGGGTTGGAGAGGTTAGTGTAGAAGGGGGAGTCTGCCAGCCAGGATGACTCTGTAATGGGAGCTGCTGGTAGAACATGATGGCCATTTGAAATGTTAGACAGGCACCTCAGTTAGCCATTTGTCCTAGGTTGGAGAACTTAACACTAGTCATAGAGACAGGCCTTGAATTGTGTGCTAAGATTAGACCTATGTCACCATGCCCATCCTCCACTTTAGAAAACGCAAGCAGGTGGAGAGAAATGTAAACACCTACACAGTCATGAGAGAAATTTCTCAACAATAGTTCCCATCAAATGCAACCAAACACTTGGGTTTTTTTCTTTTTAACCTGTTTTTTTTTTTCCAATTTGTAAAGTTTTAATGTAAGAAACTTCAGAATTCCCTTTTTTAGAGGGGTTGGGAGAGTTCAGGGTCTTACTATACCCCTATCTGGCCTCAAACTAAAAGAGATGTACCTCCTTTACCTCCTGAATGGTGGCATTAAAAACACACACTGAGACTGGAGAGATGGCTCAGCAGTTAAGAGCACTGACTACTCTTCAGGTTCCAGCAACCACATGGTGGCTCACAACACTCTATAATGGAATCCAATGCCCTCTTCTGGTGTATCTGAAGACAGCTACAAGTATATTCATATACATAAAATATATAAATCTTTTTTTTTTTTTAATGCACCACCAGCCAGCCAAAGTCATGCCTTTAGTCCAGTACTCAGTAGGGAAAGGCAGTAGGATCTCATGAGTCTGAGTCCAGGACAGCCAGTGCTAGTTACAATGAGAAGACCAGGACAGCCAGTACCGGTTACATTGAGAAACCCTGTCTTGGGGTAATGGGGAATGGGGGGAGAGTTCACTACCATGGCTGGCCAGAATTCTTTTATACTTAAGTTGTCTTATGAAGCCCAGGTGGTAGGAGTGGTGGAGGTGGTAGCGGCAGAGCTAGTCTTTAACCCCAGCACTTGGGAGGCAGGGTGTCTGTGAGTTCAAGGCCAGTCTGGTCTACAGGGCAACATCCAGGACAGCTAGAGCTACACAGAGAACAAAAAACAAAAAGCAAAGAAAAAAAAGTTGACTTACTGGCTGGAGAGACTGTTCACTGTTTAAGAATACTGGCTGCTCTTCCAGAGGATCAGGGTTTGATTCCCAATGCCCACACTGTGGCTCACAATCAACTTTAATTCAAGTCCTAGAAGATCCACCGCCCTCTTCCGGCCTCCTCCAGCACTGCATACAAATAGTGCAGACATGCATAAATGCAAACTGCCTATATACATACAATAAAAATAAAGGAAAAAATTGACTTACTTACATGATAAATACCAAGGCTCCGTTGGGGACCAAAAAGGGGGGGAAAAACAATGAATGAGGAAGACACACAGGCACATCAGACCCACACAATTCTCAGCTGAATGAAACAAACAGTAGTCTTCAGATTTTAGTTTCATCCACCAAGCAGGACTAAATCCCTTAGGGCTAGCCTGAAGCAACTGAGGGCAGTAAGCCTCAGAACCTAGTTCTAGAAAGGCACTGCTCTGAGTACTCACAGTGTGGGCAAAGTGCAGAAAACACGAGCACAAAATACCAGTTCCCTTTGACGTTAGCGTGCCTAGATATGAGCTCCACAGGACGAAGCAATGCCCAGATGCCTACGCTGAGTGAGCAAAGAAGCCCCTGAGAAGACTCGAACGTATCTAGTATAAAGGCTCCTGTCCAAGGTTCCTGAGTCAGTGCAAAGAGATGTTATGATCATAACAGAAAAGGAGCAATCATTTCCTATCCCTGGAGAGAGAAAGAGAAGGGAGAAACACCACTGACCCGAGCTGGACAGCCAGAAACTGCTTAAAATGAAGAAAAGGTATATGTCCTATTGCCTCACCCCGTCCTAAGCCCTAAACCAAACGCTGCTCAAAGTGCTGGCGAGACGCTGGTCAGAAACAGACCCTCAGGCCCCGCCCAAGACCCGCTAAGTCGCGTTGCAAGGGCTTCACGTGCACACTAGAATGTAAAAAGGAACCGGATAGACTGTTCTCACAACAGCCCTGTGAGATACGTACAGACACGATCTCCACTTCACAGGGAGTTAAAAGCACCGTTCGAAGAAGTCTTTTGCCCACTCTCACAGCAGTCCGGTGTGATAAGGTGACCCTAGATGCTGAGAGGCGCTCGGATGGGCGCGAGGGTAGCCGGCTGGGAAGCACCGCCTCGGAGCAGCAGGCTCGGGATAACCAGGATGGCGGAGCGCGCGGCCCGGGCCCGACGGGGCCAGAGTGCAGGCAGCAAGCCGAGCCTCCCCGGCCGCCAACTCACCTGAAGCCCACGAAAGTAGCGCCCTAACTCCAGTCCCGGGCCGCACCAGGTAAGTCAATACACACAGTCCTCCAGCATCAACCGCTCCACAACCCACTTCCGGCCAGCGGCCCTCTCCTTCCGCTTGCGTTGGTACGGGAGCCGCCGAGGCTCAAAAGACTACAGTCAGCGTTTTCCATGAATGTTTTCCAGCTTTTGACTTCAAGAGGTAGCTTAGAACATGTAGGGAAAAAAAAAAATAAAAAAAAAAAAAAAAAATATATATATATATATATATATATATTATCGTAGAAGGATCTGTTTGAAAGTAATTGAGCAGAAGTAATTGGCACAGGTTCGAATCCTAGGATTGCCATCTGGGTTTTATGACTGGAGAAGTCACGCAAACTTTTCAAGCCTAGTTTGTCATCTATACAAAGAGGATAATGATGCATTTCTAATAGTGGAAATGCTTTCAAAAGAGGAACTAGCAATGGATAGATGAAAAATGGATGCAAGGAGCCGAGCAGAGTGATGCACGTCTTTAATCCCAGGACTAAAGAGTCAGAGAGGCAGGTAAGTCTTTATGAACTGGATGCCAGCCTGATCGACATAGTTCCAGAACAACCATGGCTATATAAAGAAACTTTGTCTTGCCGGGCGGTGGTGGCGCACGCCTTTAATCCCAGCACTTGGGAGGCAGAGGCGGGAGGATTTCTGAGTTTGAGGCTAGCCTGGTCTACAGAGTGAGTGCCAGGACAGCCAGAGCTACACAGAGAAACCCTGTCTCGAAAAACCAGAAAAAAGAAAAGAAAAGAAACTTTGTCTTAGAGAGAGAGAGAGAGAGAGAGAGAGAGAGAAAATGGAGCTGGTGCTGAAGGCGGGTAGGTCAGGGTTTGTTTTCTACCTCTCTTAGGAGGGCCTCACACCTGGCTGGTTTGGCTATCAAGGCAAGAAAGATTCTACCAAGTCCTATGTAGTAGCAATGCCTGGTCCCAGGCCTGTGGGTGTCTGTTCAATCTTCAGCCTTGTCAGTGCCATCTGTTTGAGAAGCTGTGAAGGAGAACTGAGAGAGGCATCATACTCTCTCCAAAGCACTGGGGCTGGGGGTAGGGCAGAGGGGAGAGAGAGACCGGCTATATAAGAGGTTGTGGCAAAGAGATTTGAGACCAGTTTCCAGCTTTTGAGTTCTATGTAAGGCAGTCTGCCTGGGTATGAACATTTGTGCCCCATAGACCGTTGGTAACATGGCTTACACTGGCTGGGGATGTCTTACCTGCTTACAGCCTGCTCATAAACCCAGAGTGAAAAATCCCACTCGCAGGGGATAAACTTTGATTGCTCCTAGGCAGCCATGACAGTCCAGTTTCTCTTTGCAAAATGCTGTTCCCTAGTCTCCCATGAAGTGGGAGGAGCTTGTAGCCCACCTCTAGCCAACAGGACTGGCAAGGAGGAGTTATCACATGCTTCTAGGACTCTTGGTTTGTGCATATGGAGGCCAGTGGTCACCATCAGGCAACTGCCTCAGTCACTCTCCACCTTACTTTTTGAGACAGTGTCTATCACTGAAACTAGAACTCACAGATTCTGATTGGGTGGTTAATGAACTCCAGGAATCCACTTAGTGGCTCCTGTTCTGGGGTTACAGACAGACTGGACCTCAGGGCCTGTTCTTATATTGATGCTGGGATACAAACTCAGGTTTATATACCCGTATGGCAGATACTTTATTGATTGAGCCATTTTTCCAACCCCCAGAAAAACTTTTTTTTCTTTTTTTAAAGTATCTGTATTTTTATCGGTTTAATTTGTTTTGTTTGTTTGAGATAGTGTCTCACTGAGTAGCCCTAGATGTTCTGGAACTCACTATGTAGACCAAGCTGGCCTCCAACTCAGAGATCTGTCTATCTCTGCCTCCTGAGTGCTGGGATTAAAGGTATATGCTACCACACCCAGCCTCAGAAAAACTTCCAATATTATGATGAAATGGTGCAAATCAATCTTATCAAAGAGCTGGGATTCTCTGTGGCAAAGAGGAGACAGGTTGGGTGGATGAGTGGGAGGATGAAAACTCTAGACTCTAGCTCAGTGGTTCTCAACCTTCCTAATGCTGTGACCCTTTAATACCTCATGTTGTGGTGAAAATAAAATTATTTTCATTGCTACTTCATAACTGTAATTTTGTCACTGTTAGGAATCATAATGCAAATATATGATAGCAGGATATCCAATATGCAACCCCTGTGAAAAGGTCGTTTGACCCCAAAGGGGTCAAACCGCACACATCGAGAACCACTGCTTTAGATCCACAGAGAGCCAATAGCCATGATACCTATTACTAGACTTGTCGAGTGAAGGGAAAATAAACCACTTTTTAAAAGCGGTTAGATGTGATGCCTACAGAGTACTCCATTGTTGTTGTTACTGTGAGGTTTTGCAGGGAGGACTGCAGACAATTCTGTAAAGGACAGTTCACCATTTTACATCATACTTGGGTCTTTTGTCATTAATTGAAAGCCCATTCTGTGATTCCATGCTAATCACTGAAGTGTTCAAGTGACTGCAGGCTGTGCCTAGCTCTCCATATTACCTGCCTTCTGGATAGCAGCCTAGCATACAGCTCCTGAGCTAGAGTCAGCTGGTAACACTGCTAAGAGCCTGAACTGAAGAGAGAACACCCCCTTTGGTAGGAAAGGTGGAACCACACTCCTGGACAAACATGGAAGACTTAGGCTTTGAGCCAATCTCCTTGCGTAGCACAATAAGTAACTCTGGTCTCATGCCTCTTCTGGAGAAATATCTGTTCCAGCTTTGTCCTACCCCCCCCCCACTTTATCTCCCATACTTGCAAAGATACAAGCTGGCCACAGAATTGCCATCCAAGAAGCTTTCTCCATTTTATTTCTTTGGGAAAAGAAAAATGAAAAGTCTTTCTATCACATATGGTAGATATATATATTTATATATTTATATATTTATATATAATTTATTTTGTGGTTGGACATTCCAAAGCTGTTCATATTTTTCTCTCCCCCCATCTCTTTTGTTCTGTATTAATGCCTTTTCCCAGTCCCCATGGACCAGGCTTAGGGTCTGGATCAGGTATAGTGAGGGATTAGAGGAGTGGGCAGTGGTTGCCAGAGTAGCCTCCAATCAAGGTCAAAAACCTGTTGAGGACCACCCAGGAGGAGCTGTGCAGAGAGGGGGAGGCTATAAACAGAGCACTCCTATTTTTGTGGGGGGTGCACAGCTTGTTAAACAGTCACCAGTCATGGGAGGAGGCTGGTCAGGACTTGGGGGGACTTGCTCACAGTAGTTACCAACCCTCTAGATCCTGTCCCCAAGTTTCCATCTTGGGGTGGAAAAGAGAGTGAAAAAGAGAAATACAAGGACTGAGGGCCAAGTCTCCTCTGATCGTTATTGCTGGTGAATTGGAAATTTACTTTCTTAAAAGAGAAATTAGAATTTCCCTGCCTGTCTTGGGGAGATAGAATCTGAGAGATCTAGAGAAGGAAGTGACATTGACTGTCACAACCCATACTGATGACCATACCAGCCAACCCTGCCCAGACAAATGGGCCAACTCAAGAGTCTGGCAAGCAACCCAAGGGTCAGTAGTACACACACACACACACACACACACACACACACACACACACGCTAGCTAGCCTTGTTCTTCCAGGGCAGTCACATCCAACTCTGACTGGCTCCTCAAAACAAGGGCCCCAGGCTCAGACTTGGGCCAGTGGAGCTGGGAGTGAGCAGTGCACCAAAAGCCAAGCAGAGCTTTCTGCTGGGAGAAAAGGTGAGACTTGGAAGAAAAGGCAGCCTGGGAAGATGTGAGCATGACAGGAGACCGAGGGGAGAG